TTTTTACGTGTATATCTGCTGATTTTTGCTTTATATATTTTGAGGCCACTTTGCTGGATGTATATAAATTCAGACTTGTGGGATTAGTTGAATAATATGTCATTATCTAGTGACTTTATCTTAATTTGTTTTGCCTGTATTAACATAACGGGACCAACTGTCTTTCAGTAAGGTTTGTCTGGTATGTCACTCTCTACCCTCTCACCTTCGATCGTTAGGTTGAAGTGCCTTTTGTAAAGAGCATTCAGTTGGATTTTTTTAAAACCTTGGTCCTTTTTCTGCTTATGTTCATTGTAAATGTATCAGTTATTTATGACTGCGTAACAAAGTATTCCAAAGTAATTTGCTTGAAATAGCACTGGATTGTTGTATCTCTCAACTGTGAGTTGGCTGGCAGTTGTGGGACTGCTCTCATCTGGGTCCTCACATGGATGCATTCAGGAGGGTGGAGCTCCACCTGGTGACCTCACTCACATTTCCCCGGCCTCCGTGGAGGTGACTGCACCAGCTAGGATGTCTGGGGTACTCCGCATGTGGCTTCCTTTCCACAGTAGATTTCATTCTGAAGGCTGTTGGTCCCGGTTTCTCCAGAGCACGGTGATCTAAGGTTCTAAGAAGCAGAGGTTTTGGACCCTGTGCAATGTCACTTCTGTCACATTCTCTTGTTCAAGAAAGTCCCAAAGCCAGTCTAGATTCAGCGGTGTAAGAAGACTCCTTGATCAGAAGCACTGCAGAGTATTGTAGAGTTGTTCCTCAGTTTACCACAGTGAAAATCAATATATTTGGATTTTTTTTCCTACTCCCATATTTTGCATTCTGTCTCTAACAGTTTTTCTATTTTAAATTTCTGCTTTATTAAGATATAATGAACATAGCTAGTGGTTTTTCACTTTTCTTGCCATTTTTTTCATTGATTATTTTTCTCAATCCAGTTTTTCTTTCCCTTTCCCACTTTGGGCATTTTGAACACTGTTCCCATTCCATTCCTGCTTAGCCTAGAAGTTTTAATATGTGTTTCTAACTTGCCAAGTCTAAAGTTAACCCTGTATATACCCTCTTCCTTAGAACTCTTAAGAACTTCAGAGCAAATGATTTCTCTTCCATTTATGTTATTGTTGGCTATTTTAATTCTATTTTTTTTATTCTATGAAACATTATTTTATATAGTCACTTTTTCTTTGTTTCCTTCTGTAACTGCTTTTCATTCACTATGCATCTCACCCCTCCCATCTTGGGTCTTTTCTCTTGATTGAAGTTCATTCTTTTAGCATTTTCCTCTCTGACAGGCGAGCTGGTGGTCAACTCCTGAGTTTTTGTTTGTTTTCTAAAGATGGCATTTCATCTCATCCAAAGAATGCTGGTCAGAGAATCTGGGGCAAGTAAAGATGGGCGTGATGGAGGTGGAGGGCAAGACTGAGAGACTGGGTTCGCAGGAGGTGAGGAGTGGTGGATGGGAGCACGTCCTGTCCTGCAGGGAAACTGAGGCCTCAGAGCGTCTTGCTTTCTTTCTATCACCTCGCTGAGGGCAGAGTTCTTGAGTGTGATGAGACCCTGAGGCGCAGCTGCACTGGCCTGTGGCCTTCTTTTTTGTTCCTTGTGTAATATTACTTTGGCCTTAGCTGGGAACTCATGCTAATTTAAGAGCTTCAATCACTGGTTTTTGTAGCGTCACAGGGAGATATTATTTCTGTTAGGGTTAAACCACAACCCCTTGCACAGGGCTCCCATTTAGAATTAATGGGACCGGGGACCAAGCCCACGCCTTGCCAGCGTTCTTAGTGTCCTGTGGAATTGGCCTGTTCCTGAACTGACCAGAACTCTAGAAAATACCAGGTAAAATTGAGAGTAAGTGATATCGGTTTCCATTAGGACTAGGTAGCCACAACTATGCAGTTGTGAGTCACCTATCTACATGTGATTGGTTGAATTCTGTTTTCTCAACTGTGATCAAATTGCTACGCAGTGGGTAATTTGATAAATTATCACATTCAACATAGTGAGGGTTTCTGGCCACAATTCATACCTGTGGAATATTCTCTTCTCCTAGGAGAGGGTGTACAACTGCTGGTTAACTTGGGACCGGAGGAGGGGCGTGGGGAGAGGCGTTTGTAAGGGAATCATTAGATATTTATAACAGTAAACCAAGTTGCAGCTTTTAGATAGATTGGAATCTGTTAGTCAATTAGATTGTTAATATAATTTGAATATCAGAAACTACTTAACTTTGAGATTCCATTTGTTTATATTTTAATGTCAATATGTATGATAATTTCCCATTTTTCATTGATTCTGATTTGCAAATTTTTCTGCATTTTAACATCTCTGAAATGGAGGATGCATCTTACACTTCATGGGATCTTACATTGGTTGTTGGTGGAACCACCTCGCTGCCTTGGTGGAACCTTCCTCTGATATCAGTATCTTTAGATCTAAAGTTGGCTGGTTCTGCAGAGAAGACTTGCCCAGCCTCTTGTCCAGGGTGGTGCAGGCGGGGCAGAGTGCCGGTTGCCAGCAGTCTGGGAGCCCCATGGGGAAGAGACTTGGGGGGGTCAGTATTGATTGCACCCCTTGACTTTGGTGTGGTGCCCTCTCCCTCACATATGCTGGGTGTCTCCTGGTCCCTCTGTTCTACTCGCTAGAGATAGCCAGTCTTCTGTGGAAGCAGAGAGGAGGAGGAGGGATCCGATAGCTTTCGCACAGCCTCCATCCAGGCCTCTAGTAGGTCCCCGCACCTTCCTCCAGACTTACCTGGCACAGCAGTCCCTAAGCCTCTGGAGGACTGTGGGTGTCAGGTTACCCCTCAGTCTGTCTCACTGCAGTGTTCTTCCCTCCTGATTAAGTCAGTTACTGCTGACTTAAGTCCCATCTGTCTTCCGGCTTCTAAAATGTGTTGTTATTCTCTCTTTTCCCATCATTTTTGTCCTCGTGGGTTTTTGAGTTTTAAGAAATTGCCCTACTGTAGTTTTAGTAGGCCTCTCTTACTGAGACTTTAATTTGCATTTTCCTGATTAAGAGAATTGATATCTTTTCATGTGCTCATTCATATTACGGAGTTTTTCAATCTTGTGCCTACTTAAGTCTTTTGCCCATTTTCTAAGCATTGGTTTCTATTTTTCTTCCTTATTTGTAGGAGTTGTATATGCTGGATGCCAATCCTTGGACAATTTCTGGCTTGCTCTGCACTGTGGTGTGGAGCTTTTGGTAAACAAAGGTTCTTCATTTTAATATTGATTTCATTAATATTTTCCTTTGTGATTTATATTTTTTATTTAAGAAATACTTTCCTATTCTGAAATTATAAATACATTTTCCTCTATTTTCTTAAAAAAATTGTGTGATGTTGCCTTTCACAATGAAGCCTTTATTCTACTTGGAATTGATTGAAAATATGTATGATGATAAAGAGGGATTCAATTTCATTTTTTACATATAGATACCTGATATAGCACACACATATTGAAGAGTCCAGCCTGTCTTTTTGAGCTTGGTGTCAGCTCTGTTGTAAATCAAGTTTCTCTCGGTTGGCGGGTATTTTTCTGGCTACTGTATTCTGGTTCATCAGTCAGTTTATCTACCCCTGTGTCATCCTGATTTGTTTGTAGAAGCTCTAGATGTTTTCTTGCTGTTTATACAGATTCTCAATCTTTTGTTTCTTTAAACAAATTAATGAAATAGAAATTAAACACACACTAAAAAACTATTAAAATCAAAAGCTATTTCTCTGAAAAGCTTAATGAAATTAAGCAGTTCTAGCACAATTACAGTCACAAGCTGCATAACAACGTTTTGGGCAGCGACAGGCCACGTGCATAGCGATGGTCCCACCAGATGATAGTGGAGCTGAAAGGTTCTTGTCACCTAGTGACGTTGTAGCTATTGTGACATCGTAGCACAACACAGTACTCACGTGTTTGTGGTTTCGCTGGTGTAAACAAACCTGCCGCCCTTCCCGTTGTATAAAAGGAGCACAAAGCGTCCTGTACAGGATGCACTTGATGATGATAACAACGACCAGGTAGTGGTTTGTGACTGTACTTTGCTGCTTATCATGATTTTAGAGTATTCTTTCTACTTATTAAAAAAAAGTTTGCTGTAAAACAGGATGCCTTGGTATGCTGGCAGCCGCCTCACACGTCTCGTGTTTATCGCCTCTCTTGATCGCATCATTTTCTTTTGATTTAATCTCATGTTTTGTACAGCAACAGGCTGTCCAAGCATGTAGCATGGAAGTAATAGGCTGTAGCACACAGCTGAGGTGTGCAGGAGGCTGGACCATGTGGGTGTGTAAGTGCACGCTATGATGTTCACACAGGGATCTAATCACCTAATGACACATTTCTCAGAACGTGTCCCCATTGTTAAGCAGCACATGACTATAATCAAAGAAAAGAGAGAATATAGACATAGTAGGAATGGAAAATACTGCAGAGGTTAATCATTAATAAGAGCATATAATGAACAACTCTGTGTCAATAAAAAAAAAATCCAGCAAACACCCATGTCCTGGCCACTCTACGCCCAGTGTAGCGAAACTCCCTGATGTCCTTCTGGACTGTGTTCCCCCCAGCCTTCTTGTGCATTCATTTATGCTCTGCTGTACTTACATGCACATCCCCAAAACACGTGCTGATTGACGGGCTCGATTTCCGCCCTCTGTGACACGTGTCACACACCATGTCAGCCTTCAGCCTGCTCGTATTGGCTCCGTTTTTGAGGCTCATCTGTGTTGATAGACTGAGTTCAGCCTTTTTATATTTATTTTTTTATTGTATGGGGTTCTGTTTTATAAATATACCACAGTTTATTCATTTTCTTACTAGTGGAACTTAGCTTGTTTTTCTGCTATGAATAGCTTACTTACAGGGTTCCTTTGGGATAATAAATGTTACGGACAGAATTGCTGGCTTGCTCACATGCCCATCTATAACCTTACTAGATGTTGCCAAGCTTTTCTCCAGAGTGATAGTTGTTTGCTTAATCTGTTTCTTTTTTTATTTCAGTGCCTGAAGACCTCTCCTTGGAAGAGAGAGAAGAACTTTTGGACATTCGTCGAAGAAAAAAGGAACTTATTGATGACATTGAGGTAAGAAAATTTTTAGTTTTCACTTTTAGGTAAAACAGTGTCAGTAGCTTCATGACAATGTAAAAAACGGGCATCTAGTATCTGTATACCTGAACCACGCAAAGAGATGGAGTGAGAGAGTTATCCAGGTTGGTAAAGCAGAGACCAGGCTCACCAGGCCGTGCAGACTCGGGGGTGGAAATCAAGGCCCATGGGCCTGGAGTCAGCAGCAAGTGACTCGTGACTCCAGAGTCACAAAGGGCGTTTTTACGCAGCAGCAGCAATCTGTGGATGTATTGCTTCCTATAATTGTGTAGTGAGACCTGGTTTTATTTACCAATCTCCTGAGCACCGGGAACATTGTCACATTTTGGGCACTCCAGTATCTTCTAAGTAAGTGAATAACATGTATGGAGCTTTAGCTGCTCACCACGCACCTGCCGGCCGGCTGGTGAAAGTAGCATGACAAATAAAATGCAGGCAGATAAACACTGCACTTAACACATCCATGTGCTCAGAGGACAGGGTGGCGGGGGTCCCAGAGGAGAAGCAAAGAAGCAACACCAGTCTCGGAGTCGGAGTGTCTGTAATTGTTGCAGAAATTATTCAGAAGGCCAGCACTTCCCTTTGGGGCTTCCTTGGGAAATCAGTCAGACGTGGCTCTTCTTTGAGAAACTTCCTAATCATTGTCATGCCAAAGTAAATGTGGCCTCACTGGCTGCTGGCTGTGCAAGCCTTGTCCAGACAATAACTCCTTTCTAGGAGCTCGCAGTTTAAGTCTGAAGTTTCTTGGCACACAAAATAAAAGGGTTCCTGATAAAAATTTCTTTGTATTTGAAAGATAATTCGTGGAACTTTTTCTTCTAAGGTTACCCTTCGTGCTTGGAAAAATCAGATAACCCAGAGTAGGTTCTCTGGTTGAAGACTCAGAATGTATTTGAGGGTTAATGGACTGGCGCGGACATTAGTGATAGCAGTGCCTGTGGAGTCTTGTGGAGCTCTCACAACCTGATTTTTGGGTTGAGAATGCTGAGGCCCACAGAAGTTAAGAGGGTTGCAAAAGGTCTCTTAGCCAGGAAGTGGTGGAGCCACGTGGAGGGACGGGACTCTGTCCCTTCTGGCGTTCTTGGAGTGTCCGAGGGCCATGGGCAGGTTCTGTTGTCACCGCCTGGGCTCTGTCCATGGTACTTGGTCTCATGCAAAGTGATGGAAATCATCTTGAGACTGGTGGTTAGGGGACCTGATCTAAATGTGTTTAAGCTTCACCGTTTGTCCTGGTTGGCCCAAGAACATCTCCCGCCATGAAGAAGGCAGGTGGGCACGAGGGGGTGATGTCTCCTAGCTGCAGGAAGTGAGCTAAGGACTCATTGCTCTCCTCTTGCTGCTTCAGTCTTTGTACACCTGTGATATCCTTTACTGATTTGACACACAAATACTCTAGAATATGCCTGGTGGAACACTCTGGTCTCCTGATGAGATGCAGACAAATAATTTTTCTTCTCCTGCCTTGGGGTGGCTCTGATTAGGAGACTCTCTCTGTATCAATAACAAGTATTAGTATTCCCACACCTGTGATGGGGTCTAGATGAGCCCTCAGGGAAGCGGCTCCAAAGGCTAACATTTCTCTGAGTCTAAGAGGAGGATGGAAAGACCCCCTTCCCAACCCCTAAATCCTCTCTTTTTCTGACAGAGACTGAAATATGAAATTGCTGAAGTGATGACAGAGATTGACAACCTGACTTCTGTAGAGGAGAGGTAAGAAAACACGGCCACAGCGGCCCTTGTGGGGCTGCTCCCTCTCCTCTCCACCCCCTCCTGCCCTTCGCGGAGGAGTCGGGGTGCTTCTCCCCACTTTCTCTACTTCCTCTCATAGTTCAGGAAGCAGTACAGGCACTTCAGAATTAACCTACACAGAAGTAACCTTTCTGTACAACAGGCAACTGTGCTTTTCTTAAATCGCTGCTTCTTGTCATTAGCTTTTTCTGAAGAAGTTGTCAAATATAAAGAAGCCACAAGCAAGGGTGGGAAGGGCCCTGGGAGCCTTCCCCTCAGGAGTTGTCCTGAGGGGCGGTGGCCGAAGGACCGTGGTCGGCCGCTCACTGCGCTTTGTGCAAACGCCTGGTAACAGTTTCTTATTTCTAATGCATAGCAAAACCACTCAGAGGAACAAGCAAATCGCTATGGGAAGGAAGAAATTCAACATGGATCCCAAAAAGGTAAGAGCATTTTCAGTTGTCTGACCTGTGAGAGATTGATTGGTGTTCATGGCTCTCTGCCTTTTGGACAAAGGTGGTCGGTCATATACCTCATAAAAATCTGGAGAGTTGGTGTTAAAGTTTTAAAGTTTTATCAGAAAAAGGGCTGCTAGAGAGTGGGGTGAAACAAAGCATCTGTTGAACTGGTCCCTGGACCAAAAGGTCTTGATGTCTGAAGTTCTGAGTGAGGATGGGTCTCCTGGGAGCGGGTCCCTTGGTAAAGCCAGGCCACACCCTCTGTTTCCTGCCTGAGGCAGAACCCAGGGCAGGAGACTCGTGGTTCGTGGGGTCCAGCTGGGCAGAGTTTGCGCTTCGTGGTCTGGGTGGGTCAGATGGCTCAAGTAAGAGGATGTTCGTTATTCATTCACTTTAAAAAGATGTCTGTGTGGAAGACCAAGGAACTGTCCAAATTTAAGCCTTGGTCTTAAGTGGGATTTTCTAGGAAAACACCCCAAAATAGTGAAACCTGCAACATGTAGCTGCTTGTTTTTGAGCTAAAGGGCTTAGCAGACCCTATAAAGCCTTCTGGAATGCGCAGCTCAGTTGTGAGATTGTTTTGGTTTTGGGGAGGAAGAGCGGGGCCCCTCCCTGGTGACTTCTGACCATGAAGCTGGTTTACTTCAGTCCCCATTGTTCTTTAACTGGTTTTCACTTTTTTAAACATCTTTCTTGTTCTTTTGTTTTTGGCATTGAGTCTCTGTGCTAATTATTTGTTCATTCAATAAATGTTTGTTGATTATAGGAATTACTCTGTGCGAGGTCTGATCTGTAAACATACATGAATAGGCATGAGCACAGTTGCAAATGTTATTTAAAGAAACATGTGCCATTTTCCCTGTTCATGGTCTGCAGCACGGCTGCAGCTGCAGGAGGGTCTCTGTTTAGCTGGTGTGCTCTGGCCCTGCTGAAAGGGTTCCTGCTGCTCCCAGGTCTCTGCTTCTGGGGCATAAATCAGCTCCCGTCGTCAGTGGGAGTAATTGTGAACTTGATAATGATTTGATATTTGGGGTCAGTAACAGGGTCTTATTTTCTTTAGAAACTGAGTTTACAGAGCTTACCTATCAGCAGATTTACTAAGCAGTGGGGGCAGCTCAGGAGAGAAATCATTTAACAAGGGGATATTTTTAAAACTGAACCGTATGTTAAAGTGCAGCACTGGAGAGCACAGCGGGAAGTTCACGGGTAAAGTCACAGCTCGCTCATGAAACACTCAAATGTCCCTACCTGTGTACGTTGTGCGGCCAGTCTGCACCCAGTCCTCTCTGTCAGGTTCTTGCCTGTCTTGTTCATTTAAAGATTCTGTGTGTCCGATTTCCAGGATTAGGGGCTGACGTTTATTGAGCACTTGCCTTGTGTCTGGAGCTGTGCTAAGGAAGCACTGTAATTAGTATACTTTAGTCGTCCCTACAACAACCGTGTGAGGTAGGTTCCACTTTGTTTCCTGTTTCACAGTTGGGGAAAGTGAGGCAAGGAACAGTCACAGAGCTTGCCCAGGGTCCTGACGAGGAACCCGACTCAGGCTCTTGCCTGTAATGCTGCACTGCCTGAGCTCCTGTGGACTTGGCTGGTGTGTAGGTGGCCCCGATCCAGCCTGGACATCCAGGACCACTAGTCAGCCTTGTGGCCTGCTGACCACATGGCAGGAAGTGGGCGTTGCGTCTGCTGTCCTGGGCTGCAACAAACTGCTCTACAGCCTTTGCTTTACACTCTTCACCTAGAAGATTTTTAAAAAATATTAGTCATTAGTGCCATTTGATGACTTACAATTATGTTGCTTGATATAAGCAGATGGCACATTTAGTCTGCATGTTTGCTTTTAGTGGGAAAAATTATCAAAATTATCTGGTTTTGAGGACTGGGTAATAATAGCACTTGTTTTAGTCAGCTTGGGCAGCCATAACAAAACACCACAGACTGTGGGGCTTAACCATCAGAAATTCATTTTCTCACAGTTCTGGAGGTGGGAAGTCTAAGATGAGGGTGCCAGCCTGGCTGGGCTCTGGAGAGGACCCTCTTTCCGGCTTGCAGACGGCCGTCTTCATGCTGTGTCATGGCAGGAGAGCAAGCCTTCTGGTGTCTCTTCCTATGTGGACACTAATCCCGTCAGACCAGGGCCCTCCCCTTGTGACCTCATCCAACCCAGATCACCTCCCAAAGGCCCCACCTCCTAAAACCTCACCCTGGGGCTAGGGCTGCAACTCACGGGTTTTCAGGGGATGCAGACATTCAATCCATAACAGCACCGATGATCTCACATGCTTCAGATAATTCAAAATTACATCTACCCCCCCCAACCCAATCCCATACTCCTATTAAACCACATGACATTGTGAAACACTGTTATTTATTGTCAGCGTAAATACATTGTTTCAGGCTGGAAGGATATTATTTAAGTCACAGAGTGGTAACATTTGGAGCAAGGACCTTTGGTTTGTTCAGGTGATTATTAGATACCCAGAAGTAGCACTTGAGCTTATAAGTGAAAACAGAAGATTGCTAGATCAGGGAAGCTGAAAATACTCTACAGCAGCGGTTCTCAACCTGTGGGTCGCGACCCCTTTGGGGGTCGAACGACCCTTTCACAGGGGTCGCCTAAGACCATTGGAAAACAAAAAGATATTTACATTACGATTCATAACAGTAGCAAAATTACAGTTTTAGAGTAGCAACGAAAATAATTTTATGGTTGGGGGTCACCACAACATGAGGAACTGTATTAAGGGGTCGCGGCATGAGGAAGGTTGAGAACCGCTGCTCTACAGCCTCTCCCTTGTATTCCCAATTTCCTAGAAGTGCCTTTAAAAATATAATAGATAAATCTATAACAAGCAGGAGTCCTTTCAGTGGAGGAGAAATTGAGGAATCCCCAAAGAACACAATAAGTGAGAGCCCGAAGCACATACAAGGAAGAGCCTGCAGGAAGGGACAGCAGTTTCAGGGCTTGACATGCTCAAGGGGCAGCAGGTGCGGGCAGGGCCCGAAGGAGCGATATCCAGCCTGTCCATCCTTTGCCGAGCTGGCACTGAGCGGTAGTGTGTGGCCCAAAGTGAGAGAAGAAAGGGGGCACTTAGCCCATGAAAATAGGCTGTGCCCTGGGCAGCTGGCATCACAAGGAGGAAAAGGAGGAGGAGGCGGACGAGGCGGAGGGCCCCACTCCCAGAGATCAGCTACTGAGCACCCACCTGGCTGTGTGACCTCCTCTGCCAGGTCCCTGAAGGCAGCTGCCATAAACACCAGAAACAGACGGCATTCAGTTGGGCGACCAGAGAATCTTAACGACAAAGATGCACACCCAACCAGCAATCACCAAATGTACAAGGAAACTGGCACCATGAAAGACTTGAAACTGGACAAACAGAACTAGCACTGGAGGAAACAGGCCTAGTAGAACCATAGAAGGCTTTCCAGGTCTGCGGACAAGTGATGGACGCTCCCCACTGAGACCTGCTGTGTGATCTGCAGAAGTTCAGTGATGGAAACGGTCCACCTCTAAACCAGAAATGAATCCAAGGCGAGATGCCGGACAAAACGAGAAAGACAAGCAAAGAAGCCAGCAGAACTGATGGTTACATCTGAAAGAGTGATTGTTGAAGGAATATTTTTAAAATTAAAGTCCTAGGTTATCTGAACATGTAAGTAGCCAGGGGGAAAGGAAGGAGGGAAGTAAAAGTCCTAAAGTTTTCTAGATGTTGATAGATAAAGGTAAGTTTAAAATTTGTTAAAATTGTAAGAATAACCACTAAAACTAGCAATAAAATGGGATTTCTAAATTATTAGTGTTTACCTACTATATTCATTTCCTACAGCTGCCTTAACAAATTACCACAAACTTGGCAGCTTAACACAACAGAAGTTTAGTCGCTCACTGTTCTGGAGGCCAGAAGTCCAAGATCAAGGTGTGGGCAGGGCTGGCTCCTGTGGAGGCTCAGAGGAGCAGTCTGCTCCGGGCCTGCCTCCCAGCTGCTGGTGGCTGCCAACAGCCCTGGCATTCCTTGACTTGTGGATGCATCAGTGCAGTTTCTGGCATTCCTGTCATGGGGACTGTGGCATCTCCTCTCCTGTCTCGTACAAGGACACGTGCTACTGGATTTAGAGCAGGCCTGCTTCTGGGTCCGTGTAGTGAAGGAAGGCAAGGGGACAAGGGGCTTGGCAACTGGTACTGGGTTGGCCACCCTCGGATGACGCATTCTTCTCAGACCCAACAGCTCAGTGTCCTGAGCTAGGGCAATTCGGTGTTATTGTCACCACTGCCTGCATGGTCGCAGGCACAGTCCCTTTCTCCTTCAAAGCTGTTCTCTTTGCCTCTGGCTTTCGGCTCCATCTTCTCTGCTGGTCCCTGGCCTGGGCTCACCCCAGTGGCCCCGTGTTTTCCACGACCAGGGCCTCACTCAGTCTCTCGTAAAAGGAGCTGCAGCTTCACTTGGAGACTCTTCTACCTTCCATATGTAACCTTTAAGTGCAGAAGAGATTACCTTGCTCGGAGCATGTTTTCTCTTCTCAGACCCTCGGAGGTTGTTCATAGACTCTCCAGGGTGCTTACTGGTGTTTGGGGGGTGTTGAATTTTAGAGCAGGTCACGAACATTCAGAAGAACTCATGAAAGCCTCATCCCCCCCAGCCTGTCCAGTTCTCGGGGTGCACACTGATGCTGTGGCCAGGGCCCTGTGACCACAGGGCTTTCTTGTTAATGAGCCTGTAGACAGCTAGAGGGATGGAAAGGGAGCAGGGCTGGACGGATGCAAGACCCTCCCAAAGCCATGGCCATGCCAAGGACGCACAGCCACCGCCCAGAACAAGACGCGCGTGTGGAGTGCATAGGGCGCTCTTGTGGCATCTCCTCCTAGGGACTGAGCCTACCCCATCACGATGGGCTAGTGTTTCCTTTTCTGAAACTTTACACTAATGGAATGAAAATATACTCTGAGTCCTTTTACCCTGTGTCACATCTGTCATACATGTTATTCATACATGTTATTGAGTGTTTATTCCTTTGCTGTACAGTCTGCCATCATATGAATATACCAAGGTGTATTTATCTGCTCTCTTACTGACTGACTGTTGGGTTGTGCCCAGTTTCTAGAAATTCTAAATGAGGGTCCTATGTTCACTTAAGCATTTTGAAAATGAATAGGGGGCCAGCCGAGTGGCTCAGTTGGTTAAGAGCTCGCTCAAGAGTTTGAGCTCTGAGCAACAGCGGTTCAATGCCCGGCCCGAGCTGAGTTGCCGCTGAGCTGCCAACAGGTGGCAGGATGGCTCAGCTAAAAAAAAAAAAATAGTAGGAAGACTCTTCAGCTGGTCCGTGGCAGGGAAGGAGCTCTGGTTGCACCGAGAGTTCCCGCTGGACAGTCACCTCTGAACTTGTAGAGACAGCCGCGGACAAATGGAGGACAGAACTCCCGACTCCCTTCCAAGCTTTGCCAATGTGTATTTTGAAACCAGCTCAGTAGCTGTGTTGGGTAAATTTCTGCTATTATTAGGAGTTCTCATGAGACCGCACAGCTCGTCCCGGCCAGGACCGCCCCTGCAGCTTCATTCAGAGCCCCATCGGCTGTGCTCTGTGGGTCCTTCACGTGGCCTGGATTCTGACAGCCTTAAGCTCAGTCGCATTGCAGTCAGGTGACATGTTCAGCCACAGGTAACAGCAAACCCCATGAGGATAGCACACATGAGGAGGCTGTCATCTCGCCCAGCAGAGGTGGCTGCAGGTGTTGAGAGCCTTTCCCCATAGCCGGTAGCCATTAGGGCTCTGAGCATCACTTCTGCATTCAGGGCAGGAAGGAGGAGGGTGCAGTGTTTGCTCATGGGTCCCCTTTATCAGGAAACCAGCAGCCTTCTCGGGTCCTCCTCACAGACCTGTGTTTCTTTTGCCAGAACTGTGTCACAAGGTCATTTCTAGTTGCAGGGGAGGCTGGGAAAGTGATCGTGTAGTGAAGGAAGGCAACGGGACAAGGGGCTTGGCAACTGGTACTGGGTTGGCCACCCTCGGACGACGCATTCTTCTCAGATCCAACAGCTCAGTGTCTTGAGCTAGGGCAATTCGGTGTTATTGTCACCACTGCCTGCATGGTCGCTAATGAACACTGAAAACGGTTAGTTCAGTGATCTGTGTGTCTTTCGGCCTGTTCAATGGCCAGGAGAGACCAAGAGGCATGATTGTGCTTTCTTTTGATGGGTCCGTGCGGCGCGGCGATGTGAGACTCAGGTTGCTCTGTTGCATTGTTCGCACTGCTTCCAATCCACAGCGTCACTACACTCAGTGTATTTGTTTCTGAAGAATGAGGCTGGATGGCTCTCCTATGCTCATTTCCTTTCTCATGTTCATCTTCAGGGAATTCAGTTTCTCATAGAAAACGACCTGCTGCAGAGCTCCCCGGAAGACGTGGCCCAGTTCCTGTACAAAGGAGAAGGCCTGAACAAGACTGTAATCGGAGACTATCTGGGGGAGAGGTAGGTTACGGAGAGTGAGCGTCCCGCCCTCCATTTCAGGGTGCTTCACCTCTGAGCTTGGAAGTGCCCCGTCAGGTGGCAGCCATGACAGCACCGGCCTCACGGGTAGTTTGAAGATGGAGAGAGAATACGCAGGAGCCACGGGACAGTGCCACACAGCCCAGCACCTGGGTGCTCAGGCAGCAGCCATGGCGGCTGGTGGTTGGGGTCTTAGGACGGACTCAGCCTGACTCACCAATGTGAAATCAAGTCGGTACCCTATGGAGTCTCCTTTGCACTAACCTGCAAACAGATGTACTGGGAGAATATCTTAGCTTTCAGTCACACGAAACTAAAAACCACAAAAATTGGCTCTAGGAAATGTGTCTTAAAATGACTGCAGTCGTCTACATGGTCTGTCAAACACCCTCCGTTTCTTTCTAGGGATGAATTTAACATTAAAGTTCTTCAAGCTTTTGTCGAACTCCACGAGTTTGCCGATCTCAACCTCGTACAAGCCTTAAGGTGAGCGTTTCGTCACGTGCCGTTAGAGAGGAAGGGGAGGCAGGAGGAAACTCAGGGAGCGCTGCCCACGTCTGCAGACGCTGGCGTCCCCCATTTCAGGTGGTCTCTGCAGTGCCGCCGGTGCCCGGAGCCCGAGATGCGGGGCACGGCTCGTGCTGGAGGCTCGTGCTGGCCTCATTGGGGCGGCTGGCTCTGTGTTCCGCTCCCGCTTCCTTTGCTGGCTTTCATTGTAAATGAGGTGGGGCAGCTGCGTGCGGGCTTTCCTCCCACGTTTGTGGCCTGCTGTCAGTGCCATCCAGGCACAGGCCTACCTCCTGCCACATTTGGCCTCAAGCACTAACTGTGTGGATGCCCACCGTGTGCCAGGAAGGGTATGGACTTCCTGCCATTGGAGGCCACCCCAGTCCCAGTCTTGTCCGGGTAAAGCCAGACAGCACTGATGTCATTGGGTTGGACAGCTCTCCAACCCCCTGAGTTACTCCACCTGGGGGCTGGAGTGCAGGGGCCGCACCGTCCACTTAAGCCCCCTTCTGTACCATGGAGAGGTCCACCTTCCTCCCTTGATTTCTGGCCAAGGCACTGAAGGCTGTGCCCCCAGCCTGGGCTGCACCCGCCCTCCGTCTGTTCTGGCTCCTTGAGGGGAGGAGCCTTTAGCCCTGAGCCTGTCACCAAAAGGCTGCAGGGTCCCTGCTGTGAGCAAGCCCCGGCCTGCTTTGCTCGTGGCCTGGCCATCCCTCAGCTGCAGACGGGTGTGGCTGCGTTGCTGTCTGACCGCTGTGGCCTGGTCCTCAGCAGCTCGCCTGGGCTGAAGAATAGCTGCCCACTAGGAGTCCCGCAGCTGGGAATCAGGGGGTTTCAGAGTCAGTTTTTGAAAACTGGGAGTCTGGGGGTGACTCCACACGTGGTCATGGCGGCCAGGATTCCATGGCCCGGCCTTTTGGCCGGTCAGTCTCTCTGGCCCGGAGCCACAGGGCTCTTGGCTGAGTCCTGCAGGTGACAGCATCTGGCCAGGGAGCTGCCTGCGGCTGCGTTGCTCAGCGGGTGTTTGGCTCTGCCTGCCCCCAGCTCCCTGTCGTTCTTGTGCCTTGCTCCCTAGCTCAGTGGTAGGGCTGTGGCGCTCAGCCTCGCACTGCCCAGGTCAGGGCCGAGACGCAGTGGAGGGGACTTCACCTCGCCTGCACAGTCGCTCCTGTTTCCTGGCGTCCCTGCTGGGCCGGCATATGAGGCCAGGACCACAGAAACTCGCCACCATTTCCTGCCTTTTGTTCCCCTCCAGACAGTTTCTGTGGAGCTTCAGGCTTCCCGGGGAGGCTCAGAAGATCGACCGCATGATGGAGGCGTTCGCCTCCCGCTATTGCCTGTGCAACCCCGGCGTCTTCCAGTCCACAGGTCAGTGGCCGCTGCGGCCGGCACTTGTGCCACGGATCTCCCTGCGTGGGGCCCTGGGCCCACTGGCCCCCGCCAGGCGTCCCCAGGGCCATCCACCCTGCACGCAGGTCGCCTCTGACATGGCGATCCCAGGCTGGGTTCTTGGCTGCATGGCAGCTGAGCCCCCGCTGCCCTCTGGCCCCTTTCAGACACGTGCTATGTGCTGTCCTTCGCTATCATCATGCTCAACACCAGCCTGCACAACCACAACGTGCGTGACAAGCCCACGGCCGAGCGCTTTGTCACAATGAACCGTGGCATCAACGAGGGTGGGGACCTGCCCGAGGAGCTGCTGAGGGTGAGCTGCTGCCGAGCCCCTTCCGCTCCCTCCTCGGACCCTCGCGTGTCCTTGATCCTCAGGGGGTCAGGTTCTGCCTGTGAGCATGGGCAGCACCAGCTCATCGATCTGAGCATCTCGAGTAGACCTGGGACCCACCGAGCTGGGCACTGATACTGCCCTCGGGGGAGCTGGGGAGGACGCTGGCTCCCCGTCAGCGTCCCTGAGCCACTGTCACTGCCCTCGCAGAATTTGTACGAGAGCATCAAGAACGAGCCATTCAAGATCCCGGAGGATGATGGCAATGACCTCACACACACGTTCTTCAACCCCGACCGTGAGGGCTGGCTCCTGAAGCTGGGTGAGTGGTGCCAGCAGGCGGGACCGCGCTCCAGGCCCCCATCCCCTCCAGCGGCTCCCGCTGAGGGCCAAGTGCCCTCTGAGTTCCTGTAGCCAAGGCCCCCGACCAGAGGCAGAACGTTAGAGAAGAGGCCATTAGGAAAGGCCATCTCGTAGTGGGCTGCACGTCCCAGATTCTACGGCCGCTGCTTTGAGTCGCACCCCGTCCGGAGGAGGCCATGCTGTCAGTGTCCACGGCAGAGAATAATGCCCGGGCTGAACGGCCGTCCCAGAAAAGTGCTCACTTAGTGTCCAGATAGACCCCAGGCAGCTGTCTGTACGAGAAGCAGGTGCCTTTACCTCCGAGAACCTGCGTGCCTCTCGTGGTTTGGTGTGGCTGATTTTTGATGAGTGGTTTAAATGTGCCTTCTTGTTGTTTTCCTTCTGCCTGTGGCTCCCACCTTTCTGTTCTGTGACGGGCTGCCCCTGCTTGTCCTGCGTTAGGAGGTACGTACCCGGTGCCCCTCCCCCAGCTGCTCATTCCTCTCTCGGTCTCTGTCCCCGTTCATGTGTGTGAGGCTCCGATGTGTGGCCGCCATTCATCTGACCCGTGTGGCTTTGGACTTGCTGGGTTGGCTTCCTGTGGGGCGCAGTGAATGTGACAGCCACACTCAGGCTGGGCAGGAGTGGCCGAGTGCCAGCCTTTTTGCGCCCTGACCGGAAGCGCATGGGCATGCCGCGTGGGTACGAGCCTGCCCTGGTCTGAGACCAGAGCAGCAGTGAGAGGGCTGATGGCAGCTCCATCCCTGCACGTCACCGCCGCCCCTCAGACTAACCAAGCAGCGCATGTTTGCACCACCTGGAGAGTCCAGAACATTTTCAAGGCTTCCTAACCATTGACAAAGAAGTAGAAGAGCTTTATCTTTTCTGGGCAATTTTAGGAATTGGCAGTGTTTTTTGACCAAGGGTGAGGGGTTGGGTTTCTGCCTTACTGTGACATTAGCGCCTGTGACCTGTGACAGCCGTGTGTCATCCATGTACTCTGAGAACGGATAGTAAGACTCCAAAGCCTAGAATTCTGGTGATTGTGTTTCAGTCCAGGGAGAATGAGACACAGGTGTGGTGACAGCATGGCAGGCGGGTGTGTGCCACAGGCCCGCTTTTTTGATTTGGGGTCTATCTCTGACTTGTCTCTGGCTATGTGGAGGTTTGGGAAAGTTCTGGATCTTTGCCAGAGACCCAGAACCATAGCCTTGCACTTGAATGCCTGAGTGACCTTCGAGATGCGCCAGACTTTTCGATCACATCAAACCTGCGGTCCTGGGGGAGAGCAGGGGGAGGAATGCTTCCAGAACACCAGCAAGTGGGCCCCGCCATTCCTGCATTGCCAGCAAGTGCCCCTCGAGGGATGGTGACAGCACAGGGCTGCCTGGCAGCTAGTGTGGCCTAGTGCCAGCAGGGAGGTGGCTGCCTCTAAAGACGACAAAATGAGAAGGAAAGGCTTTACAGGGCTTTTTCTCAACCCATTTTCGGGCTGAGCAGATAAGCGGCCATGCACTCTTAGATGCTGCAGAGCTGGGTGCTGAGCGGGGACCCGCAGGATGGCCACTGGGCCCGGGGTCTGCTCCTTTCATGCTCCCTCGGCCATGCACACATGCCTTTGTAAAGGGAAGTTGCGTCCCTGGTGTTCTCGTTAGAAACCACAAAGCTAGTGATGGTGACTCTGTTCAAACCTGGAACCCACTGGCCAGGTGACAGCTGGGAGCTGCCATCCCCAAGAGCCCCAGCAGCCTCTGTGTCCACTCTGGAGTAACAGAGCTGTTACCATCCAGAGAGTGGATTTCCCCGCGGCTGGCAGGCTGGTCTCTCCAGAGCTTCTGCCCTGCCTGGCGGCACAAGCCGAAGCCCTCGGATGCGTCTGCCTGCAGGTCTGCTCCGGATCGTTTTGACATCGTCCTGGTCACTAGAGACAGCTGGTGGGTGTGTGTCTCTGAGGGCCGAGGCAGTGGTCCATCTGCTGGGAGCTGCTGCTGCAGACGTGTCAGCCTGGTCCCGGTGCATTCCTGCACTTTTTGGGGCCCCCACCCAGCATGCGTGGCCTGGACACAGGCTTGGCCAGAGGCACACGAGACAAGTGTAGGGACAGTGTGTGCTTCACGCACATGCTCATTAGGAATGAAGATCGCAGTGTGACCTTGCCTAGTTATCGTTCATCCTAACTTTAGTCTTAGGGAAGGTGGCCTTCCGCAGGCCAGGATGCTTTGCCAGCACATAGAAGCGTCGGAGTCTGCTTAATGATTGGCAGGTGAACACCTGTAGTCACTGAGTTTTGAGAACGAATCATTTGTGTTAAAAGCACAGAAATGTGGGTCAGAGTTGACCTGTCATTCAGAAAAAAGGACATGTTGCAAGTGTGTGTAAGCATGTGCTGTGTGTGTGTGGGTGTGTGTGCACACGTGCCTGGTAACAGCCTGGAAAGAGTAAGACATTTACAGAGAAAGTAGAGAAGCTAGGCTCCTTGCTGCAGGCATGAGGGGTGGTGCATGTGCGTGTGTCTGTGTGCTGAAACTCAGCCAGAAACATGTGTGAACAGAGCCTCTGGTCTCCCTGCAGCAAGACCTGCCGCGGCTCCGAGACCAAGGGCATGACCCGGCCCTTGCTCTACCTGCCTGCGCAGCTGAAAGGGTGCCTGGGGTCGGGCTGGGCTTAGGGGCAGCCCAGACGACACGTGTCAGTCTAGCTGCCTGCAGCCACCGGCTCCCTTGGACCAGGGGTGGGGCTCCCCCGAGATGTATCGCTGAACTTGGGATCAGTGGGGTCGCAACCCAGGTGCCGAGCGCCAAGAGGCCTTCCTGGCAAACCCACTTCCCATGGCAGCTGGTGATACAGGGTTGGTGCTGGGCCTGGGGCCTGGGTGTGAACAGAACACACAGCCACCTAATGACCCAGCAACAGGAGCATAGAGAAAGGCAGGCACTGGGCAGACAGACAGCGCAGGGGCTCCTGGGAATACTCTCTGAGAACTTGCTTGTGGGGCTTAGCAGAAGGAAGGTGCTGGGAGGAGCGCTGAGGCTCTAGCCAGCTTGGTGGCTGGAGGAAAGGGCCAGGGGTCCCATGAGGGGAGCTGGCGACTTTGGGCCAGGCTGTCTGCGGGGTTCGGGTCTTAGGCTGATAGCTGAGAGAGCGGGCTTCAGGCATTGAGAGGCAGGGTCAGCTTATTTTTTCAAAAGGTACCTACTGGCGGCTGTTCGGAGGACAGTGGTGGGGCAGGCACAGTGACAGGAGGTGGGAGCGCTGCCCTGGGCCAGTGCAGCTGGAGAAAGGCCTTCCGTGCCTGGAGAGAACCAGCATTGTCCCCTGTCACTGTCCCCTGCCACTGGAGGGCTTTGGGTCCCTGCCTCTGCCCACTCAGAGCTGCCTCGAGGGCCTCCTGGGACCCCTGTGTGAACTCAGACAGCAGAGGTGGGGGAATGAAGTGAGAGCTGAGACCCGGGCTGCTAGTGCAGGGGTTTGCTGCTTCTTGTGCTGGGGCTTAAAGGGGATGAATAAGAGGCTGTGGCCAGTGGGTAGCAGAGGATCCCAGCGGAACGCTGCAAGTGCCCTCATGAGGCTGCACGCAGGGGTTTGGGGAGCAAGAGCCCAGCCCAACGTCAGACGATCGGGGGAGGGGATTGGGCTCTAGGTCAAAGAACAGCTTAAGCAAAGGCCCTGGGGCACAAAGGCATGAACTGGGGGTTGGGCTTGGGGTCTGAGCTCTGTGGAGGGTGCTGCAGAAATCTTGGGGAGGCAGGTGGCCAGACCGTTTGGACAGGGACCGGAAGCAGGGAAGGGAGTAGGGGTGGGAGTCTCAGGAGGAAGGGGAGACACAGCCGGACCTTCCCTAACAGCATGGCTAAGGCTCCCTTCCCAGTGCCTTGCATGCCTGGCCTCTCAAAAGGACAGAGGTCTGACCTGTAACGCAAGGGTGAGAGATCCCAGAGGGGTCTCCAAAGGGCCTGTCTGGTGGCACCAGATTCCGGCAGTCAGGGTTCCCTCTCTCCCCGAAGCTGGGCATCTCCCCTGCCTGGACCTCTGCAAACATCAGAGGCCGGGGTGCCCTCGTGCGTCAGTTCTGGGATGACCTGGGAGGTTGGCAAGTGTCCCCCCATGTTCCCTGTGACTCGTGGCCTTTCCTTCCCTCGTCCCGTCTCTGCGCCTCCATACGGGATGGCGTCTGTGACCCTCAGCCCTGATGGCACTCACCTGCCTACATGTATGTTGTAGAGAAAGGTGGGTCAGCTCAGCCCTGAATGTCACCGTTGTCACCGTGCAAGCAGTGGGGCAAGGAGAGCCGCTCCTGCCCTGTGCCCGTGCGTTGTTTCAGTCGGTTGTGATGCGCATGTTTCTCCATTAATTTTTTAATTTTGTCAGAAGCAGGGGCTGGCATTTGAAGCCAGTTAGTCTCTGCTGAATATTTAAGGGTAGAAAAGATTTCTGTAGTGAAAGGAGTAGATGCAGATGAGCTCTCTGTGTGTCTCTGTGTGTCTGTGTGTGCGCTTACATGTGTGTCCCAGATCTTGTTAAGAGATTAATTCAATTTAATAATTCCCTGGGCCAAAGAGTAATTGATTCTGATGGATCCCAGGGCACCCCAAAGTACTCGGTAATGTGATAAGGGCCCTGACGTAACAGGATTAGTCCTGGGCAGACGGGGAGCGCACTGACTTCATCCTGTTGTCATTTCCATGTGGGGAAATTAAGCCCATTCATCATGCCTGACTTCCGGGAGGCAGATGTGGAGAGCGATTGAGTTATGAGGTGCCCCAGGTGGCCGTGGAGAGGTTGGGGTGCATGCGGGGCCCTCGCTGAGCACTGCGCCGTGCGCCCACTTGCCACCAGCTGGGCGAGACCCAAAAGGCCCAGGCCACATGGCTTGGCCTGGACTCAGCTAAGTGTTGGGCGGACTGTCGACCATTTTCACAAGGAAGGAAACTTAAAACCAAGCTTGGCTCCTGGTAGCATTTCTGAAAGTACAATGATGTGTGTAGGTCCGGGGACCCTGCCCTTTTGGGCCCCAGGCTTCCTGCCAGCACCGGCTCTGGCTCACGGGGTCCCTCTGCTTTCAGGGGGGCGAGTGAAGACATGGAAGCGGCGCTGGTTCATCCTGACTGACAACTGCCTCTATTACTTCGAATACACGACAGTAAGTGAGGAGCGGGTCGCTTGATCCCCCTCCGCGTCAGAGGGACCGTCGATCGGTGACCCGTGTGAGGCTGGCTGTGTGCTCTTCTCTTGCAGGATAAGGAGCCCAGGGGGATTATCCCGCTGGAAAACCTCAGCATCAGGGAGGTGGAAGACCCACGGAAACCCGTAAGCTGCCCTTCCCTCCTGTCCTCCCCGCCAGTGGCCCCGGCACGAGGACCTCTCCTGGCCCTCGGTGACAGCCCCTCTCTGTCCCCACCAGAACTGTTTCGAGCTTTATAACCCGAGCCACAAAGGGCAGGTCATCAAAGCCTGTAAGACGGAGGCCGACGGCCGAGTGGTGGAGGGGAACCACGTGGTGTACCGCATCTCCGCGCCCAGCCCCGAGGAGAAGGACGAGTGGATGAAGTCCATCAGGTGCGCCGGGCTGGGGCCAGGATCCTGATAACGACCTTGTGGTTCTCGTATGACTCCAAGACACCCTTCAGCAGTAACTGTCAGGAGACGTTGAAAAGATGCAGGTTGATTACTTAAAAAGACCTGGAAATGACAGTGAGAGCACCTGGGACTGGGCGCTGCTTTTATTGGGGTCGAGGGTGGGGCCTCGGGTTTTGAGGGCTCACTCTTTATTGGTAGATTTGATGAAACTCTTACAAGAACGGGAATTTAAAGCTCAGGAAGAGGAAACAAACAAGTAGCCCAAATGGTCAGCTATCAAAATCGCCCAGGCTCTCTAAAATCCAGGAGCCGCAGTGGGATGCTGCCAGGCTGTCTGGTCGTGTGGCCCGTGAGCATTTATTCGAGACGGCCATCCCTGGAGCGGAGGCCTCGCCAGTCAAAGCTGAAGTCAGGCTTAACGAAAAAGGAGGAACAAATATCAAGGCCCACAGTGCACCCGGCTCAGAGCCTCAGGGTCCAGGTCCGTTTCCTCCGGACGGCGAAGCTGCAGAGTGTGCGTGTGCACCTGCGCGCCTGCCTGCGTGCCCGTGCCCTGTGTGCAGGAACTGGCCCCGTCTCCACTCGGGAGGGGGGCTGCCTCTGCCCGCTCAGAGGGCTGACCTGTTCTCTGGTTGCAGTGCCCCTCCCTCCTAACCGAGCTGTTTCCCTTTCTTCCCCAGAGCGAGCATCAGTAGGGACCCTTTCTATGACATGCTGGCCACAAGGAAAAGGAGGATTGCCAATAAAAAATAGAGCTTTCCTGGCCTGGACAGGTAAAAGCGAAAACCAAAACCCCACAGCAGAAAGTGACCGGGAGGCCTCCCCATGACACCCTGGACCCCAGCGGCCTTTTCTGGGAGTCAGTGCTTCTGTGCAGAGCTTGCAGCTGCTCCAGGGTGGCCTCGAGGGCCCTGCCAGGTTCTCCGCAGCCTTTGTGCATCGTGTCCGGTGAGCCACACCGTGTCCCCCTCCTGCCGACCTTCCCGCCCGCAGCACAGACATACAGACGTCCTTCCCGCAGTTCTGTGCAGCAGGTGTGCCTGGGAGTTCAGCTCGGGGCCTGTCCCCGGAACCTCGCGCGTACCTGGCATACCACACGTGCTCACTGTGGCGGTGTTCACTGTTCTAGAGGCCGCTGTTTTATATCAAAACAGGAAAGGAAAAGCTACCACTTTTTTATTCAGATTTTTTTTCTCAGATATATAGGATTATAGCTTTTATATGCCTTTTTATATTCTGAAATTATAATGGAAGATACTTTCTAACAGTAGTATTTTTAGAATGGCAGCTACAAATTGAACCCTGGACACGTCTGTACTGTGCACTGGAATTTCACACCCGCGTCTGCAGCGGCCACCGGCCTGGCAGTGTCGGGCGAGGCCTGTTCCGAGGGCTGCTGCTCTGAGATGCCCTCATCCGCCCTGATACAGGGAGGTGGCCCATGGTGTCCAGGTCCCCTGGGACCTCTCAACTCAGATGGGTGGTCCCACAGATGCTTTCTAAAAAGGCAACTCATTAAAATTTAAATTATGGTTTGGGGCGTTTGTCTAATACCTGCTGAACCCCAGCACAGTAGTCCATATGCCACACTGCATGGACCCGCTAACATCCAACTATTGTGACCCCACAAGCAGCAGTTCCATATGGTTCAACTGAGCATGTGGTTCGGACCCACTTTTGACCACTGTCTTCACTATTTAAACCTTTTGGCAGAATGCGTGCCGATATTACTGACCCGGTAACACTTTGACCAGATTTCTTTATATCATGAGTCGGCATATCAGTAACTAGAAATCATCTTATCCCATGTTTTCAGAGATTTAAGCTCCCGTTACAAGGAGGGAAAGAGCAAGCTGTGAGGAGATGGTGGGTGGCACTGAGGGCTTCTGTGGTGGCTCACAGCCTGAGTCCGCACTGCTGGGTGACCAGTGAGGAACCAGACATCTGGCCGCCGGTGACCCAACAGCAGCAGCAGGTTCTGGGCAGCACGTTGGCTGAAGGAGGGTGACTCGGCTGAGGACATGCGAGTGGGCAGGGCTGGAGGCTGTGTGCTGTGCCAGGCCGCCCCTGGTTCCTCAGGACAGGGCTGGTGACAGACGCTCTTTACTGGGAGCTTTATTTCCATCGTAGGACCCATGGGGGTCCCTTCCCTGTCTGCGTAGCACACCCCGAATTTGTACCTGTTAGAGGTCACCACTGCTGTGTAAACCAAGTTCAAGAAAGAAAACCTCAGGCTGTGTGCACTTCCGTGGAGATCCAAGCAGCACAAGTAACTGTTCCTGTGAGTTGCCTTGACGGCTCTGGGACCTTGGCCTTGGCGCAGCTGACCTTGACGTAGCTTTAAGGCACTCGACTGCAAAGGGCTCGGAGCCCGTGACTCTCCAACACACATCAAACTGATTTTTTTGGTTTATTCCCAAGCTCTTAGGCTCTGTTACTGTCCCAATACCTCCAATCCGACACTTCAGTGTTTGAGGAAGGCAAGTCAGCATTGTTGAAATGCCTGACTGATATATATGCAACTCTGGCCTCCGTCTTCCGCGAAAACAGAGACCTGCCGGGACCACCTGACCAAACACTGCTGAAGAAGCCTGGGCAGCGCGGCCCCTCGGGCCGGCCCCACCCCCAGGACTACCCGTGGCGCTGTGTTTCCCATGTGGACGTTCTCAGTCCTTTGTCTGACCCAGGTAGGACCCTGCGGAAACAGGGTTTTGTCTCTTGGGTTTGGCCTCAGAGTGAGGTTGGGAGAAGGGAGTATAAGGAAACACCTGCTAAATGTTTCTCTGGCCGTCTGTGAAGGAGCCTCCCTTGGTGGCTGTTTCCCCAGGAGCGATACAGGAGGCCGTGGTGCTTAGAACCTACGTACCTTGCCATCAGTGTTACGTGTCATTGTGACAGTATTCACCTACCAGGCAGATAGCCGTCACCCCACTACGCCCTCAGGCAGGCCTGGGCGGGCCTTTGCCTGAACCTTAGGGTGACGGCCTTCGTTGTCCTCCCTGCCCCCATGTCTGTGCTCAGGGCTGAATTACCATCCCAACTCTGGCCAAAGACATGCTTTCCTCCCAAGACCAAGGGCAGGAGGTGGTGAGGAGCACGGGGCGGGATGCAGTGGCCTCCATGGCCCACCGGCTTCTCAGCAGGTGAGGCTAGTTGTACGGCCCTGGACGCAGACAAACGAGCGTCTTCAGGATCGCAGGCCACTTTTGAGCAGTTTAATGTGGTACCAAACTGGGTCCAAATAGCTTCTATTTATAGGCAAAGCAGCATTTAATGTTTCACATAAAGCAGTGCATACTTTTAAAGTTAAAATGCATATATCTACATAGATGTGCTTTGCTGACAAGTCAGGTCTGGTGTAGACCAGAAAACACGTTGTGGTTTCTCACTCTTATTTTTTCTTAGAAAACATTTCTATTTACAGTAAATATAGTTAATATGTAAATAATGTACATATATATTGGTTTCTGGAGTGTTTATTCAATGTATATACTCCCATAACTTGCATGAAGAAATAACCTGTATCGATATTTTGTTGTAAAGTGAATAGTTAGTAAAATTGGAAGGTGTATGGCTGTCAAATTGCAAATACTGTGGTCACCAAATAAAAATCAAACTCATTGTTAAAACCACATTGTGTGAGACTTAGTTCTTTAAAATAGACGGTTGGGTCCAGCATGCACCCCCCCCTCCTCTCCCTCACCCGTCCTGGGGTCTTTCTGCACCTCCAGGCCCAGCGCCTGAGCTTCGTGAAGGTTTAAGGAAGTGAAGGCAACAGGAAGTCAGCGAGAAGTGTCTGTAAGCAAACGGGGCAAACAGCAGTAAAAAATAAGACGCAAAGTGTTTCATTTGCTGCCATTTATATACTGTATAAATTTTACATGCTGTATATTTACAGTGGGGCAAGTGCTTTAATCTTTAAAAAAACAAAGATCAAACTTTAGACATCTCTGAACAACACAAACTGTATAAAGCATACAGATTATTCAGATACAAACTGTATTAAATACAGTTTTCCCCACTCCATCTCCTGATGCAGGACCAGTGAAGAATTATAAGTGTATCACAGTTTGATAGCATATCCATATTAAAAATAAAATCACAGTATGATTTTGTCTGTAACTAGAAACTTTAAGGGACCAAGCTGACAACTCAGACTCCAATATCATAGTCAAGACAAGAGACACTGTATAAAAAAAGTGTTATGTAATAAAAAACATACTGTAAGCTTTACAAATAATGTTTGGATTATACATTCATAATGTAAATACTCATAACTGGTAAATTGATTGGAATAGTTCCACAAAGTTCAAAAACAGAACTTGTCTATAAAATACACCTTCAAATCTTGAATACAACTAAAATATGAAGCAAATTAGTTTCTAGTATCAGACATTACAGAAAACAGATTGCTCTCAAAAGTCTAGTTGAGAGCTTGTGAATCTTTAAATAAGTCTTTAAATTAAATATACATACTGTCAGTTGTTTGTACTTTTAAAATTCCATGGTTTCCGGGTCGGTCTTGCACCGGATGTCTACCTTGGAGGAGCATTACATGGAATACTAGTGATCAACCTGAGTCTGATTAAGCAGCATTTGAGATGTTCTAGTCCAGGGCGTTATTTTCAAGGTGATTTATATACACGGTATTTTACAATGGTCAGCAGTTGTAGAAAGTGTTCATCCATTTGGAATAAGGGTAATTAAGAAAAGGTAAAAACTAAAAAAACGTTCTCCATGGTAAAATCTGTACAGTATTTACTAAGGAAGCACCACGCAGATTTGAACAAAGTTATTTCCTATATTTATAATTTAGGCTGGGTTGGGGATGGCTTCTGTTGAGCGTGTTGAATCTGAAAGACAAGAAGCAGGAAGTTGGCACAAAGGGCCCAGTGAGTCCCTGGCAGGGCCTCCCCTTTTCCTAACACCAAGAGCTGCTTCAGGGGCTCCCTTTCAGCAGGTTCCCCAGGTCTTTGGGGAAGCTCTTAAAACTGCCAGCCTTTCTGAAGGCAGTGAAGGAGCCGGCAGTTCCCGGCAGATGTGCAGGGGCGCCATCTGCTGGGCGTGGACCGCACCCACCGAGCCCCACCTGCCACTGACCCATCTCAAGCCTTCCATTCCCTTGCACCGGGGAAGACTTAATTCCTCAGTTAGGCTGAGGTCTTTCCCATGTGAACAAACTGATAAAGCATGTTAATTAACTGCAAAGGAATCTTCTGTAGACAATTTACTTTGAAATTAATTTTAAATCCCCCTTGCTGACTAGAAGTTACACATCTGGACAAAATTCCTTCAACTCAGCAAAGGCGGGGCACAAAACATGAATGACTGTCTCCCAAAGGCCACTGAAAAAAGCTCCAGCACTCAGTCAGTCAGCACCCTCACAGTGTTGATCTGCCATCACACACCCAAACCTTTTCGTCTGAAATGGGGTGGCCAGCTGCCCGCCTCCGATTCCTGGGTGCGCCAGCCCCAGTGTTCCGGAAGCAGAGGGAGGGCCTGGGGTGGGAGTGGGGGGGCGGGGCTCCTCTCAGGCCAGTTAGTGGTCGGGCCGAGGGAACTGGCGTCTCCAGCTCTTCAAATGTTTATCAGGCGACTGCAGGCTGATGCTTTAAATGCCCTCGTTTTCTTACCATGAGGGGACGGGACGGACCGGAGTCAGCGAGTTTGGAGACACCAGGGTCCCCTAGCCAGTACTGAGGAGCATGGCCTGGAGGTCAAGGGTCTGCAGCCCTTGCTGGGGAGCCTCCCGCACCTGCCTCCCGAGTCCCCAGGGCCCCAAACTCCTTCGTGTATGTCCCCACTGTGCCTCTTACAAACAATGATGAGATACAGAGATATGAGAACAGCTTACCATAACTAGTGAATTCTTTGTTCTGAGGCCAAGTTTTCAATCACCTAGAAAGCAAAGGTTAAGAAACAGTTTAATGAAGGTTTTGCAAAATGTTCAGGGCCTGTGCTGTGTGTGTGCACTAAGTGGTGACACTTAGAACCAGGTCTCAGCAGTGAAATCAACCCCAGACAAGGGTGAGCAAGTATGTACATGCCTCCACGGAGCGAGTTCTCCGAGCGTTCTACTGAAAACGATATGACGACCGAGGGCCGCCGGTCCCGGTGGAAAGGTGCATTGACAGCCTTGCCTGTGGGAGTAGTGCGCTGTCAGCCAACTGAACCGACCAGATCTTAGGCCAAAGAAAGGGAGAGTTGAATGGAGCCAGAGAACATGAGTCTGAAAGAGCAGTAAGTGGTCAAGGTACCAGGCCAGAGGACACGTGGCAGACAAAGGTGTCCGTCCTCGGCCAGCTGCAAGGGATGCGTGGCAGGGAAGGCCAAGTGACTGGCCCTTCTTGGGGAGGACAGGATGGGACAAGGGCCCAGTCTGCTCAGTGGAAGCCCGGGCCACACAGCAGTCTTTGGGGAGGGCTGGATCGGGAACAGGGACACACTCGACATAAAGCCTGACTGCGGCCCCTGGAGACACATCAGAGCTACCAAATGCCAACTGCTGAGATTTGGGCTCAACCTACTTTCCCTTCAAAGCCATCTCTGGGCAAGCTGCCTCCCACTTTGCGCAGGCAGCATCTGGCTATTAGGAGAGGGACCTGGAGCCAGAGGAGGGAGATGCTGCCAGCAGTGGGGAGGTCCCGGGGACTCCACAGAGTGCACACAGCCAAGAAGGGACTCGATCGTCACCAAGCCCGTTCCCCCTGTCACTGACATATTCATGGGAAACCAATCTGAAAACACATTCATTTCTTTATAAAACGCAGAGCAAATACCACTTTAGCTTCACGTTCTTGCTGCCGTGTGCCACCAGAGTTCCCACGCTCACCGTCCTGATGGAACACTCCATTGCTCACAGTACCTGGTTCTTCCCTCGCCCCTCCTCAGTCAATAATCACACACTGACCGGACCACGGCGGGGCCTGGGCCTGCCCCCAACCCAAGGCAGCTCCATCGAGTCCAGGACACAGTTGAGAACCAAAATGCCACTGGGCAACCAAGATGACGGTCAAAGTCAGGAGAGTGCACCTGGGTGTCCAGGGCAGGGGTCGGCAAATGTTTTCCACAAAGGACCATAAACGCTGGGATGTGCTCCACTACAAATCAATTTCATATAATTTTCATGTGAAATGAGATCTTCCTCTCTGGACTCTTCCAACCACTTGGAAACGTTCAAGGCAACCTTAAGCGGCAGGCCAGAGGGAGATGGGCGGTGGGCAGCTCCGCCCAGAGCCGGTTTGCCAAGCCCTGCTCCTGTGCAGGCTCCTGCATTACACCCTCCTCTCGCTGGCTCAGCGCTGCTCTCCAGGGTGGGAGACCCTGGTGCAAATCAGCCCGGCAGGGAACTGCTTCACATGCAATCAGAGAGCACAAAGGGTTACGCCATTACTGAGGGAGACAGTTGAGCACAGCAGACAAGAATCCAGGAGCCAGCAGCCCTGAGTGAACCAAAGCCCCACAACACAGACGCCTCGAAGGCATCGCTCTGCTAGAGGCCAGCAGCTGCTGTCCCTAATGACCCAAGCCACCAAACTGGGACTTTTCGGTGACACTCAGAATGCTAGAGCTTGAAGGATACCAGCGAGAAAGAACATACTGCAAAAATGGTTCTCAAAAATGGTTTAAAAGTGGAAGTTCTAGTCCTTCTCAAGGCACGTACTCAGAGACCCAGAGCCCTAAGTCCCAGCGGTCCCATCAGGCCCTGTGTCCTGTAACTTAGGCCTCTGGTAACTGCCAAGGGGTCACACGGCACATGTACACCAAGCACTAACGCAGCTCCGCCTGGGAGCCCAGGCCGGACGGTTCCTGCCCCACCACACACACTTTTATGACCTTTGAGGTTCTCATCCTGTGTGTTAATCACCTTTCCTAAAAAGACTAGTTTCTATATTTTGAATTCCAAGTAGCTCCTCTTACCCTGGCCACACTCAGACAGATGACACCTGTCGTCCCTGCTTTCCATCCTTAAATGTTTTGTTTTCTCACGGAAAGGTCCAAAACCTTCCAGAGGCAGGCCGTCGGTGAGGGGGAAACCGCCGTCACTCCTCCGGAAATGGTCAACAGTCTCGGAGCTGGCAGCCTTCACTAAGTGTGGTTCTGAATCTTTCCCAAAGTCCTCGGATTTCCTTGAGTGTCTCTTCTTTTTCTTCTTCTTTTTTTTGTGTCTGTGGAGGTCAGCATCAGAGTACGCAACGGAAAGATCTGAGTCCGGCTGGTGCCTGCAGGAGAACAAGCCAGAACTCACACCACCGAAACCAAAGCCACCTCAGACAGACCTGTGCTTGGCTTCTGCACCCACCGCCTTGGACACTCATTGTGCTAACAGGTGACATTGTTAGCTAATTAAAACTGCAGTTTGTTTTCACTATAATGTTTTTTAAGTCCAGGGTCATAAATTCACCAGTTTCAACCCCATCCCACCACTGCCTTTAGCTTTGCTAAGGTATTTGGCCAAAATATCAGAGAAAGGATTTTGCTAACTTTTCCTGAAACTAGTGGCTGAGGGAAAAACTGTGTCACAAGGTGACACAGGCACATGGGAGGTGTTTCCCTTTCCCTCAAGGAACCGCTGTTTACCAAGGGCTTTTGGTAATCTCTCCCCAAGGTTTCGATTCTAAGAGACGGCAAA